CTGATGTTGTGGTAGCATTTGCTACTACACTTTGAAAGTGTAAAAACTTGCCCTGGCTGGTTTGGCTCAGTGGTTAGAGTGTCGGCCTACGGTCCAGAGAGACCCGGGTTCGATTTCCGCTAAGGGCATGTACCTTGGTTGCAGTCTGTCCCCGGCCCTGGTTGGTCGTGCGGGTGGCAGCCACTCAATGTTTATCTTTCACATCGATGTTTCTCTCTCTTTCTCTCTCCCTCCCACTCTATCTGAACAAAAATGGAAAAATGTCCTTGGGTGAGGATTTTAAAAAAAGGAAGTGTAAAAACTTTCACTATGGCCAAGTTCCATCTGTCAGTACACAGACTTGGGAATAGCTATGCACCATCTGACACAGCTGTATATCCATGGAACACCTGTAATAAGTTAAAGAGCACAAACTACCTCCCCCCAAAAGTTTTCTTATGTTTTTAATTTTTTTTCCTTTATTGATTTTTAGAGACTGAGGAAGGGAGAGAGAGAGAGAAACATCAATGAGTGAGAACATTGATTGGCCACCTCCTGCACGCCCCCACTGGGGACCAGGCCTACAACCTGGGCATGTGCCCTGACCAGGAATTGAACTGGCAACCTCTTGGGGCATGGGTCAATGCTCAGTCACTGAGCCACATCGGATGGGCTTTTCTTGTGCTTTTATAATTCCTTAGCGCTCTTTCTGTTGTCCCCAGGCAATCACTGATTGGCTTTGTTGCTATAGATTAGTTTGAATTTTCTAGAATTATATAAAAATAAAATCATATCATATTTATACATTTTTTAAATGTTTATGAGTTTATTTGAGCCAAAATTAATGACAATTGCTGGGAAGCAAAACATCAAATGCTCTCACCAAATTTATACTTGTTGTTTGTTTCTCTATCATCATCCTTTGGAGATTTATCATGTGCGTGCATCAATAATGCGTTTCTTTTTTATTGCTGAGTAGTAGTCCATTATATAGATATATCATCATTTCCCCATTCACCAGTTGATAAACATTTGAGTTTCCAGTTTTTAGCTATACAAATAAAGCTTCTAGAAATGTTTAAAAAGACAAAATGGAAGAAAATATTTGCAAATTGTATTTCTGATAAGTCTAGGATCCAGATATATAAAGAAATTTTACAACTCAGTGATAAAAAGACAAATAATCTAACTTTTTTAATGGGCAAAGGATTTGAATGGCTATTTCCCTGCAGAAGAGGCACAGGGACAAGTCGCAGGGCTTTGCCTGTGCTGGTGGAGAAGTGGCGCCCTGAGCAGCAGGACGCCCCAGAGCCCACACACGCAGAGGGTGAGCGGCAGCCTGGGTCTATTTGCATTCCAACTGTCCCTCAGGGCCCAGGGCGGGACCTGGCTCCCTGTGGGTCCTTAGGAAGGAAGGGCCCTGCAGTTTTGTAGACATGCTGATTCTATCCATGCCGATGTTTTTTAAGGGTATCAGATCTCATGTCACCCATGGGAGGATGGGTGCTGGGGAGGGCTCTGAAGAGTGAAGAGGTGTCCCGGGGTGACGCAGGCTCAGGCCCAGGGAAGGTAGGTGGTTGAAGCCCTAGGCTCCCGAGGAAAGTAACTTCGTGAGATAACGTGGAAATTAAATCAGGACACGGGCTTCCCTGCTCTGGGTTTGCCCAATGTACACTGTTTGCCCAATGTACACTCGTTGAAGGTCGGGAATGAGGCTGCGGTCACCCCGGCCCCAGGCAGGCTGGCTGCGTCTCCCCGTTACCAAAGGGGGAAAGGGAAACTCGTTCCTTCTCTGGGAAGCGTGTTTCCCAGCGATGCTCACGCTTCCACGCCGCCGTCGCTGTGCTCAGTCTCTGGAGACTGCTATGGCCCTTTATTTGAGACAAGGCACTAGTTCTGTAGCTTATTTCAGAGACCTCAGGTGGAAAATGTCATTTTTCAACAGTGTGGTTTGCAAAACCCATCATCTGAGGAGGCTGAAGGAGTCATTGGGAAATTTTAGGGTCCATTAATCAGCTCTTTACCACATATTTGAGCGATTCTTTCTACACTTAAAGCGGTTCTTCACTGCTCCCATGAGAAGCTTGAGACATTATCTCAGACCAGCTGCTCAGTACGGTCACAACCCAGAGTCAGCAGCTCGTGAGGTGTGCGCGTTGGCTCCCCAGCAGTAACCCCGCGGTGGCTGTCAGAACCTCGGTGTAGTGGCAACATGCACACCCCAGAGGGTGCATCATGACTGGTCCCCTTTCCCAGTGACCGGCCTAAGGGATGGGTATGTGGCCGATTCTGGCCAACAGGATGTAAGGAGAAGCATGCTCTGAGCTTTGGGCCACCTCCTTCCTTCTTGCTCAGACCACTGCTGTGTGAAAACACACCTAGAGCTCCGGCAGCTGAGTCACAGCTGAGATGACATGAGGTGAAGACCTGCACACTGAAGGTGACGGGGCAAAGACGGGGGAAGAGCTTGTGTTCCTGATCCCAACCAACCCCAAGAACAGCTCACTCTGACCTTGCTCAGTGACTATGTACACGACCCTAAGGTGTCCACCACCGCTGTGCACGTCATCTGGGACTTGCAGCAAAGCGTCCTGCAGATGAGAGATACACACCGTTGGGTCAAAGAAATCTTGATTCCTGGCTCGTCCATTCACACAGAACCTATGGAAGAGAATGGCGCCTGGGACCCCATCGCCTAGTGTCCTGGGCAGGGACGGGGACAATTGCGCCCCCTCTTTGAACCTGTTTCCTCAATTATGAGATGGGAGCTGGACCCAGGGATCTCTGCAGCCCCACCTCAGCCTCCTGCACATCAGGGTCCAGACCAGAGCTTCACGCTCGGCACTGGTCACAGGAAACAAGACGGGCTCTCGGGCCGCGTGGCCCCAGCCTCCAGGGTGGGCAGCCGGGGGGCTCACCTCTGCTCTGCTTCCTGCCGTCTGGGCAACAGCTTGGATTCGGGGGAAAACGAGAAGAGAATCGTTGCCCCCTTGAGAACAGAGGTTGTCCAGGGTGGGCAAGTCAACCGGCTTGCGGGGCCCGGGGAGGCCGGGCGGTGCCCCAGTGTGCTGTTTCCACAGGTCACAAAGACGACACACTCACAGCAGATGCACACCCGCCGAGTGTCTCAGGCGGCGAAGTGCCTTCCCACGGTCCTGTGTGGGGCGTCGTTCCAGATGTGCCTGTGCTTAGACAGATGTGCTGCCATATATTATAAACTCAGAGGTGCGGGTGGTGACGTGTCCTGTCGAAACATGAACAGGCTATGCACCCTGGAGCCAGTGAAATGGAGCATATGGATTGATATATATATATGGGTTTTCCAGAACTGATTTTAGAGAGAGGAAGGGAGAGAGAGAAACATTAATCGGCTGCCTCCTGCACACGTCCCGACTGGAGATCGAACCTTCTACCCAGGTATGTGCCCTGGCCGGGAACTGAACCCACCGCCTCTTGATTGTTTGGGATGACATTCCAACCAACCGAGCCGCCCGGCCAGGGCTATCTGTGCAGATTGTTAAAAAAACGAAAGTAGACTTACTCTATTGCCACTGTCAAGAGACCTGTTTTTAACAACTGTGTCTTCTGGACATCTCTCTAAGAACACATTTTCCACAGACTTTCTTACGGATGTCTACCGTCCCATACTGTCAGACACACACTATTTATCCTTTCCCACGCCTCTATTCATGGAAATCCGTAGTTCAGTGCCATTATTTTTTGCTATTACTCTTGTCCATAGTCTGTCAACCATCCCTGGGGACCAGGATGGTTGGCCAGAATGGGTGTGGCCACTGCCAGCACAGGAACTTTGGGAACACCTACCTCCTCAACCAAGGAGTTTGCTGTTTGACTGCTCTTGGGCTCCTGGGCTGTCGGACCCGCTGCTCAGGGCTGCTCTGGGCTCGCTTGCATGCTCCCCGCTGCCCACGGCCCTGCGGGCCCCACACACATGGGCCAGTGGACTGAAGCTGGCCCGAGGCTCTATTGGATATACCCATAGGAAGGGACCCTCCGGACCCTGGCTCTGATTTTAGCCCTACTGAAACCCCAGCTAGACTTCTGTGACTGGACTGAGGGAAATGGGACTCTGGAAACCCAGGGTGTAATTCCATGGAAGTAGAGACTTATTTCTACTAGATCACATCCTCCTGTGCAAGTCCCAGAAAATTCCTTTTCTCCAGATATCACAAGAGCTCCATCCCCACAGCGACCGGGAAGACGAGTTCCTACTGCCCTGTGACACTCATCTATTCATCCCAACAGTGGATGAGAGCATCCACTTCTGCATAATTTTGCCAAAATAGGATATTATCAATATTTCTTATTTCTTCCAATCTATTAAGAATATAAAAAAATATGCATCATCATTGCTTTAATTTACATTTCTTTACTTTTTAAAGAAGTCAAGCTTCTCTTCAATTCTACTAATACTTCACATTTTTTCCTAAGAATTGTCTGGGAATCCATTTTTGCCTGGACTGTTTGTCTTGTCCATTTTTAGAAGTTCTTTGTATACCAGTTATCTGTAGTGAATATTATGTATTGCCTACTATGTACTGCAAATATTTTTCCAAGTCTGTTTTAATCTCTTAATTTTGTTTATGTCTTTTGTCAAACAGCAGTTTTTCATTTTATGTGGTTAAGCATGTCAGTCTGTCTCCCATTTATGGCTTCTAGGTTTTCTGTCTCATTCAGAGAGTAAGAATCTAATCTGTCTCTTCACCCCACACCGGCCGCAGACTACCACCTCTGAGGTGACCTTTGTGCTGCGCCCCCCGGGGGAGGAGCCTTGAGGTTGAGGTCAGGGAAACAACCACAGTGTGGGGCCTGCTGTCTGTGAGATTCTGCTCCTGAGCCCTGAGCTAAGCACCGGGAGCCCAGCTCCACCCAGGGCAAATCACCACCCTGGGAGGTTCCGGTGTCTCTGTGTGAGATCCGAGCGAGACGCAGGAGTAAGCAGGTGTCCTGCCTGGGAGGCACCCAGGCACCCCGGCTGTCCTCACCTCAGGTGACACCCCAACATGATTCCTCCTCATAGGCCAGAGCCCCTTGAAGAGCGGTCAGGAGACAGATTCTGATCCAATGTGAGGCCGTGAGGCCATAGGGTAGCCTCAGTTTCCCCAAGTTCACTTTAAAAAAATTTACAAAAAACATGTTAACCGTTTCTAAGTGTATAGTTCAGTGACATTAAATACATATGCATGTCCGGCCAGTGTGCTCAGTGGGCTGAGAGTCATCCCATGGACTGAGAGGTCCCGGTTCGATTCCCAGTGAGGGCACACGCCCAGGGTACAGGCCTGATCCTCAGTGGGGGGCAAGCAGGAGGCAGCCAATGGATGTTTCTCGAATCGATATTTCACTCTCTCTTTCTCTTCCTGTCTCTCTAAAAAAAACATATTTAAATACATTTGCATTGTGCAACCATCACCACCACCCGTCTCCAGTACGTTTCCACTTCTCAAACTGAAGCGCTGCCCCCACTCAACCCTAACTCCCCCCCTCCCCCAGCCCCTGCCCACCGCCCTTCCACTTGGTCTCTCTGACCTTGACTGTCGAGGTGTCTCGTGTAAGTGGAATCATACAGTGTGTGTCTTTTGTGTCTCGATGATTTCACTTGGCACAGTGTCCCCTGTCCATCCACCCTGGAGCCTGCGGCAAGGTTTCCTTCCTTCTCAAGGCCAGGAGCATTGCTGTGCGGACGGCCAGGCTCCCGCCTCTGGCTGTGCACAGTGCGGCTGAGGTGGCCTTTGAGATGGGATGGAAGGAGGTAAGCACAGGGCTTCTTGGCCACCTCCACAGGGAAAGGACCCCAAAAGGGCCAGCGCCCCCGGGGCCAGGCAGAGAGCAGCACGTTCCGTGAGCATCGATCTCCCTTGTTGCCTGTTACATCCCCGGCTGTTCTTGGGATCCCCTCGGGCTCCTGGGCTCCCCTGGAGCTTCTGCCCTACCTACCGCTCTGAGTGCTCCTGCCTGCCCAGGTTCACCTCACCTTCCCCACCGTGATGGGTCCCACATGGCTCACAACATTCCTTCATCTGACCCTGTGTCCACGTTTCTACTGGGCCACTGGGAATTTGTGGTGTCACCAGAAAATGACCCAAATGCTCGGCCTCTTTGCTAAGCGGTCCAGTCACCCTATGGCTCTGAAGCTTCCTCCCCCACCCCAGACCCCTTCCCTGCATCTCCCTCCAAAGGAGTAGGTTCCGTCTCGGGCCTCCATCCCAGAGGACCTGGAGCTGCCGAGCGCCCTCCTCCGCCTCCTGAATACCCCCTCCTTCCATACGGTGCAGCATTTTCTCTCTGAAAAGTGCCTTCAGACGACAACACTGTGTACCTTTCCATACCGCCGTCCACGTTCCGTTCCCGGCCCTGTGCAGGCACCAGCTATGGAAACAAAGGCTGTGTCCACTGTGTTCCCATCGCCTGGGCCTCCGGCCTCCACCTCAGCCTCCGGAGCCTTGTGGGGGGTTTCACAGCCTGCTGACCCTCAGGGCCCCCATTGCCCGGGAGTTGGCTCTTTGCACTGCTCCCTGTGCCCCTGCATCCACAGGTCCCCTTGTTCCAGGCAAATGTGCCCCATTCTTCCATCCTTCAAGGAAAAAAAGAAGGGACTTCTGGTCAGGAGGGCGACATAGGTAAACGCAGTATCACCTCCTCCCACAACCACATTAAAATCACAATTAAACCACAGCACAACCATCCTTCAGAACCACCTGAAATCGAGCTGAATGGAAGTCCTACAACTATGACATTAAAGAAGTAGCCACATGGAGCCCTGGCCAGTTTGGCTCAGCGGTTGGAGCGTCTGCCCGCCGACCAGAGAGACCGGGGTTCGGTTCCCGCTAAGGGCACGTACCTCGGTTGCAGAATGTCTCCGGTCCCGGTTGGGGTCATATGGGTGGCAATCACTTGATGTACTTCTCTCACATAGAGGTTTCTCTCTCTCTCTCCTGCTCTATCTGAAGATATATGCAAAAATGTCCTCGGGTGAGGATAAAAGAGAAAGAAGTAGCCACATCCAGACTGGTAGGAGGGGCAGAGGCATACAGGCTGGTCCCACACCCACGTGTGGTGGATAAAAAACAGGAGGACGCCTCAGCTGGGAAGGTCCTTCCTGAGGACTGAGGGGTCCCCGTCCCACACCAGGTGCCCAGCTCAGGGTCCCAGTGCCAGGAAGAGAAGTCCCCATCACTTCTGACTGTAAAACCAGCGGGAACTGAGGCTGAGAGAGGCTGAGGCTTCTGGAGCCCCAGGCGGCTCCTCTTAAAGAGCCCGCGCACAGACTCACTCAGCCTTGCTCCCTCTAAGCTCGGAGGGGAGGCAGCTTGAAGGGTGCCAGAGACATACAGGGAAGAACTGAGCTGTCTGGCTTTGGGACGAGGGCTGGAAGGCAGTTTCCCCTGGACAGACATGCTGGCAGAGGCTGATGTTCCTTTGGTGAGCCCTTCCCTGGGGTGGCAGACAGGCGCCATATCTGGGACTCCAGCAACCTGGCTCACACTGTTTGCCCCGCCCTGGTGATTCCCTGAGGCCCCGCCCCACCCAACTTTAGGACCCACCCAAGCTGTTAAAAAGGTTTTATCATAGGATTGTCTTGTCGTGGATCCTGCTTCAGAGTTTCCTAAAAACTCTCAAACAAGCAGCATCTGGTCTCAGCAAGCCCCATACCTCTCATTAAGTGGCCCCGGGCCTGGCACTAGAAGCAGCCAGCTTCGGTTCACAACTCGGCTTTTCCTGGGCACCTCCAAGCCCAGCACAAGAAGCAGCCATCTGCAGATCACTGTGTAGCTTATGCCAAGTGGCCACGGGTAGAACACAGGCAGAGACTGACCTTGCCCCAGAGCCAGCACACCCAGTGGACAGCTTCAGACCACATTGAAGCACCACCACCCAACCACCTCCACAAGTGACACACTCAATGAATGGACTCAGTGGGTACCAGAGCCCTCCTAAGTAAGTCTTGCTCTGTGTGATGGGCCCTTGCACAGCTGATTCTCCAGGATAGTCAGAGGTCAGTGGTCAGTGGGCACAGCCAGTCCTTGCAACTGATCAGCCTGAGTAAATCCTTCCCATTGACATGCCAACAGCAATCACGACTCAATTACAACAGAATAGTACATAGTCCACACTAGGGGTGCACCTCAAGGGCCCAACTGGGATGATCAGGGAGGCTGTGCCACTGGATCCTACAGGACAACTACAATAATAGGCTACCCTACGAAGCCTAGGAGACATAGCAACTCTGTCTAATACATATAAACAATTACAGGGAAGCAGCCAAAATGAGGAGACAAAGAAACATGCCCCAAATAAAAGAAAAAAAAAACAAAACTCCAGGAAAAGAATTAAATAAAATGGAGATAAGCAATCAATCAGATACAGAGTTCAAAACACTGGTTATAAGGTTGCTCAGGAAACTTGGTGAGACATTCAAGGAACTTAATGAGAACTTCAAGGAACTTAAGGAGACTTCCAAGGAATTAAGTGAAAACATCAACAACGTAAAAGAGAACCAGTCAGAAATGAAGAATGCACTAACTGAAATAAAGAATAATTTACAGGGAATCAATAGTAGAGTAGTAAAGTCAAGAAGCCAACCATCTAATTGGAATATAAGGAAGCAAAAAACACCCAACCAGAACAGTAAAAAGAGAAAAGAATCCAAAAAAATGAGGAAAGTGTAAGGAGCCTCTGGGACAACTTCAAGCATGCCAACATTCGCATCATTGGGGTGCCAGAAGGAGAAGAGAGTGAACAAGAAATTGAAAACCTATTTGAAAAAATAATGACAGAAAACTTCCCTAACTTGGTGAAGGAAACAGACACACAAGTCCAGGAAGCACAGAACGTCCCAAACAAGTTGAACCCAAAGAGGTCCACACCAAAATACATCATCATCAAAATGCCAAAGGTTAAAGACAAAGAGAGAATCTTTTTTTTTTTTTTATCCTCACCCGAGGATATTTTTTCCATTTTTTGTACAGATAGAGTGGGAGGGAGAGAGAGGAAGGGAGGAAGAGAGAGGAAAGGAGAGAGAGAGAGAAACATCGATGTGAAGGGACACATCGAGCGGCTGCCACCCGCACGACCAACCAGGGCCGGGGACAAACTGCAACCGAAGTACTGCCCTTAGCGGGAACCGAACCCGGGTCTCTTCGGACCGCAGGCCGACGCTCTAACCGCTGAGCCAAACTGGCCAGGGCCAAAGAGAGAATCTTAAAAGCAGCACGAGAAAAGCAGTTTGTTATCTACAAAGGAGCTCCCATAAGACTGTCAGCTGATTTCTCAAAAGAAATTTTGCAGGCCAAAAAGAAGTGGCAAGAGATATTCAAGATGATGAAAAGCAATGACCTACAACCAAGATTACTCTATCCTACAAAGCTATCATTTAGAATCAATGGACATATCAAGAGTTTCCCAGACAAGAAAAAGCTAAAGTAGTTCATCACCACCAAACCAGTATTCTATGAAATGTTGAAGGGTCTTCTTGAAGGAGAAGAAGAACAAAAATATGAACAATAAAATGACAATTAATACATATCTATCAACAATTGAATCTACAAATAAAATGAGCAAGCAGAACAAAAACAGACTCATAGATACAGAGAACTTTTTATTGCTTGCCAGATGGGTGGGGGCTGGGGGGCTGGGTGAAAAAGATGAAGGAATTGAGAAGTACAAATTGGTTGTTAGACTGATGAACCTCAAAGGGAAGGGGGGAGGGAGGGCAGGAAGAGATAAACCCAAGAACTTGTATGCATATATGCATAACCAATGGACACCGACAATAGTGTGGGGAAGGCAGGAGGGGGGCGGGTTTGGGGAGGAGGGGTCAATGGGGAAAAAAAAGGGGGGACATCTGTAATACATCCAACAATAAAGATGAGTTAAAGAAATAAAATAAATTCTTAGCTATGATTAAAAAAAAGAAAAGAAAAGAAAAATGAGAAACCTTCCCTAACCTCACATCCCCTCCAGGGATTTCTCCTTCTCTCTGTTCCTGTTTGCAACAAAACTCCTCCAAAACCAGGTCTTCGCTGGCCTCCACTTCCTTCTTGCACGTTCTCTCTGTGCCTCTCTCAGCCTTGGTCCCGCCCTGTCCCTGAAACCACTGAGTGACGTCACCAGCAGCTCACCTCTTGCTACACCCAGTGTCAGTTCCTGGTGCTCATCTTGTTCAACCTCTCGGCGTGGCTGCCACAGCCACCACTTCTTCTTTTCTGAAACCCTGCCTTCCAGTCATGCCACAGTCCACAGCGCCCTGGCCGTGCTCTGCCCGCCAGTCCCCAGCAGCTCCTGGGCCCGGGGCCCTGCTCTTCCCGCTGCTGTACGTGGAGGACCCAGGAACATCTTTGTGTGGCTTTCTCTCTCCCCTGGTTCTGGACTCCTGCAGTATGCTGTCTACTCAGCGTCTCCACTTGGATGTCAAAAAGGCATCTGAAGCCCGACTGCAGATTCTCCCTCCTCCTGTCTCTTCCAGTTCAGCAGGTGGCACCAGGGGCCCGCAGAGCTCGGATCCTTGACCCTCCCTCTCACTCCCAGTTCTGAATCTGCCTGCTCAGCCCCTCTTCGCCGCTGCGCCAATCTAAGCTTCCTCTCCTCTCATCCAAACTCTCAGGAACCTCTTCACCAAGCTTCATTGTATTGTTTTAAATTTATTTTATGTTTATACTTTTGTCCCTCTATAATCACTTCTCTGCTTGACTTGCAAAAAGAATGTTTAAGAATGTAAATGAGACAGTGTTCAGAACTGTCCATTTGACTCTGATAAGGCCTGGGAGGTTCTTACCTACCTATCTCTTCCAGCAGCCCGCTGCCTGGAACATTCTGCTGCTCACATTGGCCTTCCTGCCACATCCCCAACACACCCCCACACCTGCCCTGCCCCCACCCAGCACAGCTAGCCTGCTCCTGCCGCAGGGACTTTGCACACTCTGTTCCCTGCCCACCAGGTTCTCCCCCACATTTTCATAGGGTTCCCTCTTGTCTCTTTCAGGTTATCTGTTTACATTAGTCACTTACTCAAAAGAAACTTTCTTTGACACCCTTCCTGGAATAGCACCTGCCCTGGCACGCTCGGTGTTCTCCCCCGGCCCTGCTTCTCCTCCTGGCACGTGTCAATACTGGTCATTTTGCATGTTCCTCTGTTTCTGGTCCCCTCCCTACCAGAATGGAGCTGCCAAAGGGCCCAGGCTGGCTGTCTTGCTCACTCCTGTCCCAGCACCGGGGACACTGCCTGGCACAGAAGAGCCCCGGGAACTATTTGCACATGAGTCTCGGGGTGCTCAGACGCGAGGCCGAACGCACTGCGGGGGAGAACACCATGTCGTCGTGCCCAGACGCAGCGGCAGCCAGCTGTTCCCCAAGCAGGCCTGTGGGCGCGGAGAGGGGGTGCTGTGGAGAACACGGCTGCCTCACTGCATGCCTTACCCCAAATCTGTCTGGTGTTTACACATTTGAAAAGGAAATGATCGTTACTAAATCAGGTCATGTATTGAAAAAGGAACAAACATTTTTGAAAAGAAAACTAGAAGGTCATATCCCAGTACCAGCTGCCCAGTGAACAGTCTGCCAACACTGCCAGATTTCACAGGCGTCTGTGTTCAAGGTCGTGGGGGTGGAGGTGTAAGACTGAAATTCGCATGTGACATAACAACAGAGCTTAACATCGATGAAGCGGTCTAGAGCCAAGTGTGGCCCAGAAGGGGCCACGTGCTAACCTGACAAGCTCCGGGAAGGCCTTACGAACTCAGAGACCGAAAGTAACCGCCAAGGATGGTCTGAACTTACAACTTTTTAACTAAAAGCAGTTTATGGTAGATGGTCATGTCCTAGGCTAGAACTTCCCTGATAAAAGTCGTTCTTTAACCTTAAGTGAGCCTGTCTGTTGTGTTTTTGCACCTACACTAACTTTCCTTTGGGATGTCAGAGTAACTCCCCTTTTCCCAGACCCCTCAGGGCACAACCGCTGCACCAGGGCAGAGACCGTAAACCCTCTCGTTGTCATTGTCATCATGTTAACTCTACACCGTCAACCATCTTGTACCCACCTGTGTATAAGAAGCATCTATCATTTTACTTTTCACCCAACCCCAGAGGCCCCCCACCCCCGCTTTGCTTTCTCCCACCTCCCGAATCTATCACCAGTGGATTTCATGTGACCCACTTACGTCTTCTCTTTTGATTGTAATGTATGAAATACGGTGCAAAGCTGTCCTTCTCTGGAGCATTTCCTCAGTCTGTTGAGAGTTTGCTTCCCAGCAGTTGTCACTTTGGCTCAAATAAACTCATGAAACATTTTTTTTTTCATCCTCACCAGAGGATATTTTTGCATTTTATCTTCAGCTAGAGAGGGAGGAAGAGAGAGAGAGAGAAACATCGATGTGAGAGAGACACATCGATTGGTTGCCACGCGCACAACCCCAACCGGGGCCGGGGAGGAACCACCACCGAGGCCCGTGCCCTTAGCGGGAACCGAACCCGGTCTTCCCGGTCCAGGGGCCGACGCTCTGACCGCTGAGCCAGACCGGCCAGGGCTCGTAAAAATTCTTAACAGTTTAGAGGTTTGCTACATTGACACTACGGAAAGGTCGTTCACCTGGAAAGGAGCACAAATAGGATGTTGAAGCCTGTTTAGCCTTGTTCCGCCGCAGGATAGTGAGAAGCTGGGGAGATTCCAGGGCAGGAGGAATGGGGAAACCGAGACAAGAAAATTAAATGAGGCCACACCGTTCGGGCAGTTTACAGCTGGCCACGATCATCCCCAACCAAGGACACGTGAGAGCAAATGGCTAGCTGCCTCGCCTCATGAAAGAATGCAAGAAGGGCCCTGGCCGGTTTGGCTCAGCAGTTAGAGCGTCAGCCTAAGGACCAAAGAGTCACAGGTTCGATTGCGGCCAAGGGCACGTACCTCAGCTGTGGTTTGGTCCCCAGCCCTGGTCGGGTCGCACAGGAGGCAGCCAATCGATGTGTCTCCCTCACATCAATGTTTCTCGCTCACTCTCTCTCTCTCCTTCTCTCACCTTCTCTCTCTCCCCGACTCTGAAAATAAATGGAAAAATATCCTCAGGTGAGGATTTTTAAAAAATGCAAGAAGGGAAGGGGCAGAGGAAGAAGACTCTAAAGCAGCCAGAGGACACACCCTGGGACGCCAAGGCCTGAGGGAAGAAGGGAAGAAGAGGGAGTGCTGAAGGCCCGTCTTACAACAAAGAAGTCAGCCCTTTGGGGTGGGAAGGGGGGGACGTTTTATTTCACTGCCTAAACAGAGAAGCCAGCTGTCTCAGGGCTTGTCAGGATAAAATTGCCAGGCACTTCTCATAAATTCTGGAAGAGTCACAGCGAAGTAAAAGGGAAGACCTGGAGGGCTCATCTGCACCGGGATGTCCAGCAGAGGAACTTGAAAATCTGGAGGCAGAAGAGTATGTGACCCCTTGGCCCCCGCTAGACTTGCTTCCCACACTGGTTGGGAAAGCTCATCGGAGCCGGTGTAGATGTAGTTTAGGAGATCTGTGTGCCCTGCTTCTTTAACAAGTTTGCTTGCTTTAATTTATTAATAAATTGGCTTTATCACAACACAGGCATCTGGAGTCACTCGTGTGATCCATTCATGAGAAGAGAACTGAGAAGGGGACAGCCCTCTGCTTCTACATCAGGGGCTGTCCCATCACCCTCCTGGTGTCTGTGACAGGGGCCTGTATCAGTCCATAAGAAAATGTGAATTAAAACTCAGTTCAGCCCTGGCTGGTGTGGCTCAGTGGCTGAGCGCTGACCCAGGCACCAAGAGGTCGCCGGTTCAATTCTTGCTCAGGGCACATGCCCAGGTTGTGGGTCCGATCCCCAGGGGGGGCCTGCAGGAGGTGGCCAGCCGAGGTTCTCTCTCATCGATGTTTTTAGCTCTCTCTCCTTCTCCCTTCTTCTCTCTCTAAAAATCAATAAAGAAAAAAAATTTTTTAAAGAAAGAAAATGTGAATTAAAACTCAGTTCAGTCCTGGCTGGTGTGGCTCAGTGGTTATGATACCATTATAATAACCTGGTTATTATATAACAGGAAAGGAATAAAGGGGAGACTAGATACTAAGGGCGTGCCATGTATACAGCTTTGCTAGGAAGCTGCAGTTAACACTCTCCAGGTCTGTTCCCCGCAGATAAATGGGCAAAGGGAATGGACAGAGGCAGTTTAGACGCATGCCTAGTAAGGTCTGAATGACATGGAAAGATGCTTCCCAGTCAGTCACACATGGGAACAAGTCAGTGGCCAGAATGGGTGTGGCCACTGCAAGGGTGCCAAATCTGAAATACAAACGCTCCTAACCAAAGAAAGTTCTCTCTCTCTCGGTCTTTGGTCCTCCTGTGCTCCTGGCTTTCCTGTCACAGGGGGAGCATCCCCTGCATTTTCCCATGTGGCCCACAGCCATGTGGGACCCACACAATAGACTAATGGACTGTGACTAGCCTGAGGCTACACTGGACTCGACTCCTCCATGGAACGGAAACTGTGCACTGGCCCTGCTTCTAACTCGGCTAAATTCCCAGCTGTACCTTTTCCAGGACTGGCTTAAGGGACTGGGACTTTATAAACTGAGGGATATCACTCCACACAAATAAAATCATTCATTTTCCTGGGTGAGTCTTAGAAAAGTCATTTTTATTTTTCAAGCTATCGTAAGAATCCCACTCCCACTTGTGATGAGAACTTCATTTCTCCAGCAACAGGTAGAATGTCAGCCCACACACCAAAGGGTTGCAGGTTCAATTCCTGGTCAAGGGAACATACCTGGTTTGCAGGTTCAGTCCCCAGCCCTGGTCAGGGAACATGTGGGAGGCAACCTATCAATAGGTCTGTCTGTCTGTCTGTCTGTCTCTTTCTCTCTCTCTTTCCCTCCCTTCCACTCCCTTTTCAAATCAATGGGGAAAATTTTCTCAAGTGACGATAAACAACAAAAAATAAAAACTAAATTCATATACCACTTTTCACCTCTAGGGTCAGCAAAAATGCTAATGGCACTCTCTGTGGGCCACGCCAAGGGAAAGAGCCACACTCTCGGAGGGTGAGAGGTTTCCATCGTCTACAGACTGCAGCAGGGGAGAAATGTACGCGGGTTCCCAGCTCATTCACCCTGGGAGAACTGGAAGGCCCGCGAGTGACGGTGCATCCAATGCCAGCTTCCCATAGTGGCATGTGCCAGCAATTCCAGTCAGAGAACCTTTCAGAAACACGTTGAAGGGGATCTGGGGAGGCAAGTTACCACTGTACTATGTTGTTTTTATATTCCCAGGTGCACGCAGTTACACAACTTGTGATTTGCTCTTTCAACCTGCTGTGGTGTTTCTTCAGCTGGGCTCACAACCCCAGAGCGGTCCAGCATGCCTGTGGGTTCTCCACGCCATGGGGACATGTCTTTATAATGGTAAGATACACCTTCTTGGCCTGTCAATTTTACTCACATATACAAGAATAAACTCAAAATGAGTAAAAGATTTAAATGTGAGTCATGAATTCATTAAAATCCTAGAAGAAAATGTAGGCAACAAAATTTCAAACACCACACGTAGCAAAATTTTCACTGATACATCAACTAAGGCAAGAGAAACAAAGGAAAAAATGAACACATGGGACGACATCAAACTGAAAAGCTTCTACACAGCAAAGGAAACAAACATCAAAATGGAAAGGCTACCCACTGTATGGGAGAGAATAATTGCCAATGATAGATCAGATAAGGGGTTAATTTCAAAAATATATAGAATACTCATACATTTCAACAAAAGGAAGACAAAGAATCCAATTTAAAAATGAGCAGAGCCCTGGCTGGTTTTGCTCAGTGGTTAGAGTGTCAGCCTGCAGACCAAAAAGTCATGGGTTTGATTCTGGCCAAGGGCACGTACCTCAGTTGAGGTTCATCCCCAGTCCTGGTCATGGTTGTGCGGGAGGCAACCAGTCAATGTGTCTCTCTCACATTGATGTTTCTCTCTCTCTCCCCTTCTCCCACCCTATCTGAAGATAAATGGAAAAATACCCCCAAGTGAGGATTTAAAAAAAAATGGGCACAGGACCTAAACAGACACCTCTCCAATCAGGACATACAAATAGCCAAGAGACATATGAAAAAATGCTCAACATCACTAATCATCAGAGAGATGCAAATTAGAACAACTATGAGGTATCACCTCACACCTGCCAGAATGGCTGCCATCAAAAATCATCAAACAACAAGGGCTGGTGAGGGTGTGGAGAAAAGGGGACTCTAGTACACTGCTGGTGGAAATCCAGACTGATGCAGCCACTGTGGAAAACAATATGGTGTTTCTTCAAAAAATTGAAAATTGAATTGCCATTTGACCCAGTGATCCCACTCCTACAAATATATCCTAAGAAGTCTGAAACACCAATCAGAAGAATATATGTTCCCCTATGTTCATAGCAGCACTATTTATAATTGCTAAGACCTGGAAACAGCCCAAGTGCCCATCAATTAATGAGTGAATAACAAAGTTGTGGTACATGTACACAATGGAGTATTATGCAGCTGTAAGAAAGAAAGAAAGATCTCATATCCTTTGGACAACATGGAGGGACCTGGAGAGTATTATGCTAAGTGAAATAAGCCAATCAGAGAAAGACAAATACCATATGATCTCACTTATTTGTGGGATATAATGAACAAAAGAAGCTGATGAACAAAATAGACCCAGAGACATAGAAAGGAGTACGGTTCAGACTGACAAACTTCAGAGGAATGGGGTGGGGAGAGATAGATCACCGAATTTATATGCATGTATACATAACCAATGGACATAGACAACAATGCTGAGGAGGGTGGGGAGGGTAGAATTGGGAAGAGGGTGTCAATGGGGGGAAAAGAAGAAACATCTGTAACAAAAATAAATTAATAAAAATATAAAGAAAAAAAGAAAAAGATTAAAAATTGAACTGCCATTTGAGCCAATGATCCTACTGCTAGGAATATATCCTAAGACGCCTGAAATACCAATCAGAAAGAATATATGTACCCCTATGTTCATAGCAGCACTATTTACAATTGCTCAGATCTGGAAACAGCCCAAGTGCCCATCAATAGATAAGTGGATTAAAAAGTGGTACATGTACACAATGGAATACTATGCAGCTTTAAGAAAGATCCCTTATCATTTGAGACGACATGGAGGGAACTAGGGAGTGTTATGCTAAGCGAAATACGCCAATCAGAGAAAGACAAATATCACATGATCTCACTTATTTGTATAATGAACAAAACTAACTGATGAACAGAATGGACATAGAGACATAGATGTGGGCTAGAGGCTGACAAGCCTCAGAAGGGAGAGCA